AATTGAAAACTATATTGCATAAAAAAAGTCCTATGTTGAAAATTCATAGTTGAAAGTCGAAAAATAAACAGCGCAGTCTCCCATTCTATGATGAATGTATGAAAAGAACGTCCCATGTCTTGAACTGTCCAGCATACAATTTGCGACTTGGCCTTCAACTTCACATGATGCAATAATAACATTCCTGTAACTTAAACCCTATCTACGTATAACAATGCCAATTTTCAATAAAGTTTAATATACTTTTTCCAAGATCTTGAAAAACTACAAGAATCTGTCATCACCGATTTCAACACCAATAATATAAATCATCATCAATGAATAAGCGTGAAATATCAAGTACAGAACGCGCAAAATTCTTTATCATTCTTTGGACCGTAGTCGAAGAATAATCTATTTATAATTGACACTCGAGGAATGTCACACATTTCTTCAATGTTCAAGTAGATGTGCGTGATTTTCAGTTTTACTTTCGCGAGTATATGGCGATTCAAGTGGTCATATTAACATCAGTTTCGACGGGTACGAGAAACTTCTTATGCACGCCCATTACATGGACTTTGAGGTTGCCTTTCAGAGCGGCGCGGTACGGACAAAGCGGACAAGCGTGAGGTTTTTCGCCGGTGTGCGTTAGGACGTGACGCCGTAGATCTTTAGGTGAACCAAATTGTTTGCCACAAAAAAGACATTTATGTCGCGCAGGCAATGTGTCCAGTGTGATGGTGTCCGAGAACATCGTTTGAGGAGGCTCAGAGAAGCTATGTACAGACGAAGAAGAGAAGTCAGTTAAGGCGGGCTGGAGGCCTGACGAGTTTTTGAACGCATGTGAAGCCAGCGCAGCTGAACCTTGCCTCACTCCTCCTCCTCGTCTACATAACTCCTGTAAGAGGAGCCGCGTCTTATACAATAGCAAACACAACCTGTAAACCCAATAACAACTAACGCATCATATGATAACACCGTGTATTTAATTTTGCATGGGCGGCCATTCTAAATAAAAATGAAAGACCCGTAATATTAACATTTAATGATGAAAAACACATCGACAGATACAACACTTCTATATAGTACAATGATAATGTAGAAAACTTGTGATGCCGTTGACGCATTTTAGACGTTATTTTCCAACACTACCAAGTCTTCGCTTAGCGATGCCAAATCGCCGTCTTCGTAGCATTCAACACTCATTTCTTTGCGCGGTCTCGCTATCGGTCACCACTCGGGGGGAAACTCAAGCAAACTCTTAGACATCTCCCTCCCGTGATTCCCCGAGACCCAAGTTTGCTTGAGTTGTCCCACGTAATTAACTGATCCTATCAGCGTTTCGTTTCTTATGGGGGTTTCCTTTTGCTCATGACAGTTTCATATGTGGGATATCAAACACAGCAAAAATGGAAAACAACGTAGGCATGAAGTCTGGTGTAAAGCAACCCACCCATTAATAAACCGAGAAATAATTCAAGCAGTACACCAACCTTCATGACTACAATACGCCATGCAGTACATCTTAACGACAGCCCCTTTCTTTCTAACTTCAAGGCATTAATTATGGATCAACGTATTTACTCAATAAATAGAAATGAAATTCTTATTTTTCAACCATGTAAAAAGAAGCTTCAACGCACTTATTTTGGAATAATGTTATGTTAAAAATGTAGGACAAAAAATTGCTTAAATAATTCAAAAAAGATGGCAAAGTGGCCAATATTTTCATAAAAATACCATAAATCGGACGAAAGATCTTTGAACGTCAACGATGATCACAGATTTACCATAAAAAACAGCAAAATATTGAAGAAAATCAACCGGTGTCTAAATTGAACACATAAATTGAAAGTAGATCGGAAATAATGGATAGTAGTGGCAACAATCAAAGACGAATTATTGATTTCTCATTACAACTGAGTAATTTTTAAACCTACATCATTAAAAATTTTCAAATGTATTGAAACAATTAGTAAGCGATTAATTTCTCGTACGGACGAAGAAAGGGGCTGGCGTTCATGAAACAATCACATTTTAATGGATAATCACAAACAAGATATGAAATTTTGAGGATCTCTAACTGCCAAAAATTCACCAATTGAATAGTAGTGTCTATATATTCAAGTATTTCATTTAATGCAATGAAAGAAATCATGGGAACATTGGAGTATTCGAAATAAGGCGCGGGTTGGTTTAGAGCTCCTCAGATAAGGGGCGATACATCACTGAACTACATGTCATCATTTTTATCATCTTAGAGAGCAAGTTATGAGCCGCAGAGCCGGGCTTCAATCATTACGATACGAAGATGCATCTTGCCACAAACAAATTTAAGAAGACGTTTGAGAAACAGCTCTGCTACGTGTGAATCTTTTAATCAATGATGCGACCAAATTTAGAAACTTCCAAGTGTCCCCAAACATGACATGGATATGAAATTCGTTACTTGCAGCAAGATACACAGCATCGTAAAGATATATCATGGACGAGAAAATTTTTATGTTCATTGCATTGTTCAAACAACTTGCTGCTCTAAGATCGATAATTCTGACCGCACTATTGGCACGGAACTTGAGAGATGTGGTTGTGAAGTGATGTGTTGTTGGAGGAAAGATGTGGTGGTGGTTGAGGAGTGATGTGGTGGTGGTCGAGGAGTGATGTGTTGGTGGTTGAGGAGTGATGTGGTGGTTGATGAGGAGTGATGTGTTGGTTGATGAGGAGTGATGTGGTGGTTGATGAGGAGTGATGTGTTGGTGGTTGATGAGGAGTGATGTGTTGGTGGTTGATGAGGAGTGATGTGTTGGTGGTTGATGAGTGATGTGATGGTGGTTGATGAGTGATGTGATGGTGGTTGATGAGTGATGTGATGGTGGTTAAAGAGTGATGTGATGGTGGTTAAAGAGTGATGTGGTAGTGGTTGAGAAGTGATGTTGAAGGTGGTAGAAGAGTGATGTAGCGGTGAAGTAAGTTAACAGTAAATTATGTGAGGGTTAACACACTTAGCTTTCCACTGCGATATGAACGTATTAAAACTCATGAATGGAAGGAATGCAATGAATTTTCCAAAAATTAACTTTTTTCAGAGACAAGATTTCAAATTACAACACAATCCGCATAATAAAATTCTATTTATTTCCGTTTTTATTGAAAGTGAAAAGGATTATTTTTGAGAGAAATTATGTGGAAAGCTATGATTCAAGTTCCGGCCAAGGTACGCTTGTTTCCTGAAGGCTTTTGGCAAATATACTTTGGACTTACCGTGATCGGCGATGTAGCAGAAGATGAAGACAAATCAACAGACAAAACGCTAATACATTTCATCAACGAGTTATGTCACCGATTTAAATTCGCTTGCAAATGACGATTATTAGACATTCGGCTAAATGAATGAAAATTTAATTTGAATAAATAGATGACATTTTTAATACATTTTTATGTATATAAATTCAGTTGATAATCAAAATCTGATGATGTTATTTCATAAAGATTTCAATGATTCAGATAACTTTGAACGTTATGCAATTAAATTAAATATTAACGACTGTCAGGTGATAAATTTAACGACAGATAAATTAGACAGCCATTGGCTCAGCAGTTGATATTGAATGCGAAAATCGACAATTCAATTTGATATTAAAGATAAGTTATGCAGGTAAAGAAGACATTGAAAATGAGCAATGAACATTCAAGATACAATAGACAAGTGAATAAAGCCTTCAGGAAACAGTTCAGTGATGTTACCCCTAAAAATACCCTTGAGGTTTGAGAGAGAGGCAGTGCTGAGATCTACGTTACGGTAGAGCCGGCCTTACACGTTGCGAGCCACAAATGTAATTTACAGATCATTTTACGAATAACCGGTATGCTCGTCTCAACTTCTACCGTGCCATTCAATTCAATGGTTCCATTACGTATGACTTTAAAAGCTCGTCACGGTTCGCTACCGAGAATTTAAAGGCGATTTCTAATCATTCAATCAAGAAACTGATTTATTGAATATTATCCACTGAATTCGATTCATGACAAATTAAGTCGCATCAAAAATTCAATGTTGAAGTATTAAAGTAATCGCAAAGAAAATTTCCTCGGGTAGAAACGCCGAGTTCATTGTAATGTAAGATACATATGCGAGTATTAAAATGTTCATCAACTCGATACATCGTACAATGTGTCACGATACGTCGATTCCCGTATATGATTTATTTCAAACAAATCAAAGTAACAAAAAAATCTTAAAAAGCGCTATAAGGAATTTTTTCATTTACTAGGATATTGTGAATATAACAAATAAATTGACGAAGGCAACTCGTTCGCTTGTTCAGACTTAAAAGACTAGCGAAAATACACTCATTCGTTCAGGCACTGATCTCAGAACGACTTTGAAAGAACGCCCACTTAATCTTATCAGATCCCCAAGGATTACTAAACAAGTTCGGAGTCACTAGTAACATTTGAAAAATACTAATTATCAAAATTATACAAGGTATTCACGCATTTGATATTTATTATTTTAGCGACGTCAACAGATCTGGACGCAATGAAAATCATGCTAAGCCTTAAGCGACTTTTATTCATACGGCACTATTACGGCGTTAGCAAAAATTCTATCTTAATTATTTATTCGCAATCAAAGATATTATTAAATGATATTTCTCAATCCTTTCAACAATGGAATGCAAAAATGAATATTTTTCGTTGCACAAATATGTAATTAAAAAATTCGCATGAATTCATTTTTTAAAGCGACGTTTTAGGGTTGCTAACTTGGCTAGTCAACGATTCTGATCGAATAAAAAAAATTCTACCGTTAAAAAAAAATGTTCTATTACGCGTTACAATAACTTGACTAGTCAACGATTCTGATCGAATAAAAAAATTCTACCGTTCAAAAAAAAAAAATTTGTTCTATTATGCGTTACAAACGCGGCTCGTGACTGTACGGACGGCTCAGAATCTCTGCACTCTCTCCAGTCTCAAATACAAGGGGTAAGTAACAGAAAGTAAAGAATACTTACTCCTGGTGCGTTTTGTTGACTAGCGCTCTCTGCAGAACTGAAGTTGAGGTGAGGGAAGCCTACGTTGGAACCGTCGCCTTGCCAACCGGCCAAGTCACCCTGCAATTCAATGAGATATTGTTAGTGTTACTAATTCATTAGGACTAAAATTAAATAAAATAACGGAATTAAATCTAAATAGTTATACAGCACAAAGGTCAAGAAGTCGACTTTACGAATACGAAATCACGACCTGGTGAAAATTAGGCCAGAATTTGAAGCTCGTAACAAGCGATTAAGATGAACAAGCCTAAACGAGGATCAAATATATGTATTATAAAACTATCCCCATGATAATGACGCTCAAATTACGAAACAAAATTAATCTCCACAGGGCAGATTATTAAAAAGAAAATATACCACGCAATATGAGAAGCAAATCATCCATCGAAAATTTACTTACTAGTTAAGAATTCAATCAATACTAGTCAACTAGAGCATCTTCAATTAATGGATAATATATATATATAGATATACCAGATAAGAACATAATAAGCTAATAAATAATAAATAAGAGCTCTTACCGGTTGGAAAGACGTAGAGCCAGAGAAGGAGGAGTGACCAAATGCGCCGCCAGCCATGGGGCCTGTCGCCTGCTGCAGGAACTCTGGGAGGTCGTTACTGAGATCCCCTCCCCCGTCCCCCGTCGTGGACCCTCCCCCATCTTCGCCTTCTTCTTTGAACGCTCCGTCGTTGCTGAGATCGTAGGCTTCGAGGTCGGCGCCACTGCCATCGTCCATCTCGACTTTGACGTATGGTTCCACCTGGTCGCTGGCGTAGGCTTGGTTGTTGGTTGACTCAGACGAGTGCACCGGGTCACCTAACGCACCATCGTCCGTACCACCGCCACCACCAGCAACAGAATGGCTAGTCTTGGGCGAAGACTCGACAGCGTGGTGGTCGCTATTTGATGAAGACTGTTGTTTCTGAGGAGTTGATCTATGATGATTTACAGGACTAAGAGGAGTTGAACTAATAGCAGGGCTCTTTGGTCTAGAAGAACTGCGAGCAGGTGATGAAGACCGTCTACGGTCTACACGCGCTGGTCTAACGTCGTCTCTACCGTCATCTACGACGTCGTTGCGTCTCTTCCTCTTGGCTGGAGGGCTGCTGCTGGGGTCGTTGCGCCTAGTCTGGGTCTCCCTCTTCTTTGATGCTGGAGGTTCATCGTCGGGCACCGCTAAACCTTTCACTCTTAAACACTCGGCAGCCTTGATGAGCGTTGCTAAATCACTTTGGCGAACATTCACTTCACCCAGGTACATGTAATCTAATAAGGCTTCTAAATCTTCACACTTGATGTCTTTGAGAACTATAACAGGGCTTTTACAATTAGTCCGATCTAACATAGCACTAAAGTAATCACTACACGTCGATAACACCAGTTTGTGCACACTGTAGAACTTCCCATCGCACGCTAAGGTCGCATCCGTGTACAGTTGCTGCAAACACAAACAACACATATTAGTACACGAGTACACTAATGTACTTAGTACACTAGTACAGCAATGTCAATAACAAAAGCAAATTTCAATATTGAGCTGAAACTAGTGCGTGCCTAAATAATACACTTTTCGATCGATTACGAAATAACCCTACAACTTTTCCATAATTTCCACTAACGATTAAAAACAGTATGAAGCATTGTCACTTTGGCAACTAGTTAAAAATATTTTACTGAATTATTTCAAGTACCGTAAGTTTCTGTACATTAGACCTAAAAAGTGGACCAAATGCTGTTCCCAAGATGATGCACCAAGCGTTACTTGTCATTGTGTGTCACTGGGAGTAAGTCTGCTCGAATTCTTTCTAATTATCGTGCACATAGAATATCATTCTGGTTAATTGAACTGAAGATAAATAGTAACTTCTCCTCAATACACTGAACTAACAATTGTAAGTGGCAAATCCATCTGCTCATCCGACAGTTTCTTCACCAAAGAGAATACTAAGAAGTTCATGCCCATCTTAGTCATCGAGTTTTTATTGATAACCAATTTGTTAACTTGCATTTACAGCCACGCTATGTTAAAACATTTCCAAATTTCATAGCATAATACATTATGTCAGATATCAAATTCTTATCCAATCATCGACAGATCCCATTTTCGTTTGCTATTCAGCATTTTCATAAAAACATGACTAAATAATAAAATTATAAATCTTCCCAATTAAGCACATTTCGTAAAAAAACGAATAGAATTTTATGTGTAAATACAATCTCAAAAATTTACCACATACTAATGAGCAAGACATGACAGGGAATAATGCACAGCATTCCAGCAATGACAATTATGTAAATATTAATATTTTGTGCAGAGGGCACAAATTTATTCAAACCCAAAACACAGTCTCAAGGTAGACCGAGGATGTTAGAATATTAGTAGTAATAATATTTTTAATATATGCATCATACATGGTTCAATAAACAACCAATAAACAGAGAGATATATGTATGCTAGCCACTAACCTTATCCCTGAGGATGCCAAGCACGTGGATGAAGGTAGATCGGTGGTTGTTCCACTTGAGTGATAGTAATTCCTCCATTGTGGTGATGCCAACTGCACACAAAAATTCGACATTAATCCTAATTCATCAACACATCTGCAGATAGCCTATACCAATCCTACACATGGTAGGTACTAGGTACACAAGCTAAACATTACACAACATAGGATTATCCATCCAATTAGGAAGCGTTAACTGATCTAATCATTTCAATGCAAGCATAATGACAAACCAGATTTTTTTAAAGTCAGATAAATTTCAATTTCCTCATCTACTGAAGATTTACACCAATTTCTTATGCATGACAATGATAGCTATCCATGATACATAACTGGTCTACTTATGGGACTAAAAAATTAGCTTTGAGCTTGAGGAAGAGTCTAAAATCTCATCAAAGTCTCAGCTTTGACACTATTTGCCAAATTGAAACAAATGCATTTCAACTCCTAAATGTAGGTAGCTAGCCAGTCATATTTAGGTAGAAGTAAAAATTTATTATTAGGTAAGTCAGCATTCAATGCTCACATCTGGTTCAATTTCACAAGAAAATTAGAAGAATAATAACTATTGCCTAACTTTGGCTGTGCGGACCTGCGGAATTTCGACAAATTCAACTAGGCCTAAGACAAAATATAGTTCCCGAATTAAAAAATTGGTATTCCAATAGGCTACCCGTATTACTTTCACTACAAATTTGAAGTTACCTATGAAAAGATGGACAATTCTACATGCAATTCGATTAAATTTAGGTAATATTTGCTGAATTACTTTCTTACCTACCTATATAACGCAATAGGCTAATCGATATTTTTCCAGCCCCAGCGTAGGCTAGACCGCTAGACAGTAAAGAAAATGCGAGATGAATAGTAATTCATGGCCGAAATAGCCGACATATGCCAAACTTCCAAGTACGCGGTGAACTAGATAGTCCTACAACAAAACCGGATCATATATTGATCACTATCAACAAAACAAATTCCACACCCGAGATCTGTTGAGCGCGTAAAAGAAACCAACTTGGGCTCGCCCTGCAGCAGAAAATCAATACTCGGCACGGATACGACTGCGCAGTGACGCTGTTGTGTTGGCTTTCAGCCTCGCAGTTTCTCTAGCTCTACTACTGTACTACACATATGGTAAACTTAAACAATCAAAAGATTCGACAAAAATTACGCAACAGGCGATTAATTATGCAACAAATACCTTTCAATTGCTGGTCTTAAAGAAGTAAGTTCCGAATCGGGGTTAAAATAAGCTCAGCACGCGCATCTCAGGTGTGCTACTGACGCCATACGCGCGCATGCGCAGTAGGCTAGGAGGAACCGACGCCATTCCACGGCCAACTCCGCAAGCGTAAGCAACCGAACACAACTATAATATTTCGTGGAATTGTGCAATTCTTTCATATACAAAGATCAATGATCGGAATGTTGCACTTGACGTTTGGATACACATGAAATTGTAAAAATATATATACATACCATCAGCTAGAGTTGCAATAACGCGGTAGCCGTACCGGCACGGCCCTTCCACCAGCAACTCCGTCACCAACTAACACAAAGACCTTCGTCCAACGTCTCCCGCGCACCAACCGGCTCACACAATCCCCCAACTATACCCCACACGCAACACACGCCACAAAGAATTCCCCCGCTACACTCCTCAATTCCATCCAATACCCCCATCTCTCCCTCACGCGCAGCCGTTGCGCATGACGAGCGCGCCACACAACCAAGAGCCGCAACCAATGAGCTTTCCCCACGCGCTATGCGCAGCTGCTCCTCAACCAATTGGCAAGCCTCTCCCCATCACTCCAACCAACCGTCAACCCATCACCACTCGCTTCACTGTGGAGGTTCCCCCTCACTCCCTAAGACCCCATCAACGGTCGCGCACCCCCACATAACCCCCCAAAATCCTGAAATAGCTCACAAATGACATATTAGATCAATATATCACTTAAATAAGTTTTACTCATCACCCACTAGTTTCAAATTGATATTATGCCGAATATTCTTAAGAAATACGATCAGTTTCTAACAAATCGTTAGGAACATAAAAATTGCACAATTATACGCAAGCTCCAAATATGATATAGCAGAACTCAACTAGCCATTGCATGCGAGAGATTTTCTTCTTGCAATTATCTAGAATTTAGCGGGAAAACAACGATATAAATCAAAAAGCAGCATAAAAAAATAAGCGATGAATCACTGGACTCTAACTTTCTCGCTTCACTGCGAAGATCGAAGCAATGGCGGCCCAATCCCGATATCATAATCACATAAAATAAGTACCTAGCTATTTCTACAACAAAGAACAAATTTCCACAACATTTAAATAATCATTAGATCTTTAATACTCACTTTACATTGCATCGAAGTACCAAGTTTCACAAAGTTTTATTTTTCGCACAATGATAGATCAACACCCAACACCAGCCAGTCTTTAGGTGGCGTTGCAGCCGAAGAAGTGCCAGATGTTCCGTGATGGAACCAAAAATAAGCTTACTAATAAGTAAAAATTAAGTCTACAAAAATTATAAATATTTGTAATTTAGCATCAAATCAATCATTTATAACATATTAACGAATAATACGTTAGTTTTTAATGTAAATAAAAGGTAGAAACGAAGCTGTATAAGCATATTGGAACGACATTAACTTGTATGGCGTATGATAGAAAGTTATTGTATATATCAATTTCACTGAAATCATGAGCAACATTTTTGAATACTGACCAGTACGGAACACTATATTAAATATTTCATATTACCATAATATTCCTTTAATTATATCGAGTAAAAATTAAACTCACTACGAATTTACCTGAAAATCGTTTACACAACCTAATTCTTGAAGCTGAATTCATGCATCAACTTGTTCGTTTTTTCAGTACCATATTCAAGTTTCATGAAACCATATTAAAAATGTGATTTGATAGTGCTTTCAATGCACAGAATTGCACAGTAACGGATTTTAAATAAACATATAACGAAAGCTAGGAACTCACAGGACGCTTGGTTGAGGTCACAACCACTCAGCAGTAAAGTCTTGTAAAAAATATTTATTGGGTCTGTATGGGTTTAAGTCTATTTAAATTTTCTTTCCTCCATCAAAATACCAATGAATTTATTTTAATATCATTTTGTTGCCTGTAGATAGTGAGAACACGCGTTATTATTATATGACTGCATAAGAATTTCTCGTTAACAAGATGGCGCACGCGTGACGCCGTGGTGTGGTGAAGATGCGTTTGGTGTGAACTGTGTGGGTTTGCTGTCACGTAATTAACGAATATTATTTAAAGTACTGCATAAGATATGCAACATATAAGTTCATTCAATGAAAGATGTGAGTAGAAATAGTTAAGTTATAATTTTTATTCCCATTTTAGCCATGTAAGCGTCCAATTACGTTGTAATTATGTTAGAATAGCCTGAAGAGTGAAGAACAGCTAGCTGAGTCCTTATTCAGTTCGTTGATGGAAAAAGGTCTTCTCGTTAGCGTTTAATGGTATTGATTATTGAACGTAGCATTAACGTAGGTTAAATTTACTAGAGTTTGATTATTGTTACTAAATTCTGATAAGGACCGACTGTTTGATATAGCTACTTTTTCTTCTGTATGGTAAGTTTTTAATTTTTTTCTAGATCCGAGTCGAGAAACGTTTTTCACTATCTTGAAATATTATTAAAGGGCAATAATTGAGGGCATCGCCAAAATTCACTATAAATCTTCAGCAAAGTACTTGTTCACAATATTTATTTCTAGATAAGATAATTTATGAGCCCTTGCATTTTCGATTCAAGGTACTACCTAGGTAGCCTAGGCTTAGCCAAACAATGGACTGAATCATCTGAATGGAGCATGGTTTATTACTGAGTTCAGTTTCATATTATTCACAGTCCAGGGATGGAAAAGTCATTTGGTTCAAAATATTGCATTTGCAGCTCTGTCAATGACTGTCATATAATTTTAGTAGGTAGGTAGCCTATGGTATGAAATTTCACGGCTTTGTAATAAATTTTTGTTTGATCTGAAAAAATAGCGGTTTGCACTTTGCAAACATGTCATTTCATAAAATTTTCAACTTTCATTCCATACTATGGAATGAATCCTATGGAATCCATAGGATCCACAGTATATATACTTCAATGCTCTTGCCTCCTACCAAAATAATGTGCAAGGTGCGGTATATTCCAACACATTAAGGACGTAGCAAAAAATGAATAGCTATAAAAAAATCACCATATGTGCAACTCGAGTTCTGTTTGCTTTACGTCACTCTCAAAACTCCGCACTACGTGCCAGCAATGATGAAACGTCACAAACTGTTGCCATATTTATTTAAAAGCCTTTAGAATGCAAACCTACCAAAGTCCAAATCGATATATTCCGACGCTGTGTGCGACTAAATTCGGCGTTTTGGGAGACTAATTCCGGCCGTGCTTCAAACTCTACTAATTCATAATTCCGACCCTCTTGTGTTCGAATTCCGATCGCTGTGTGAGCTGTATTGTTATACAACACAGCTTGGAATTAGAACACTATTGAATATTGAACACTACTTGATTAGGCTTTTAATTATGAGCTATTAAGCTTTTAATTGAGAAAATTTTAATTTTTGAACACAGCTCAAAACAAGCTGTGTCTGTCTAATTCCAAGCTATGTCAGAATTAGTTCTTATGTGTCTAAAACTCTCTTAACTTGATCATCTATTAATTTATTTACCACTTGAAATCAGCAAATACAAGTATTCTTAAAGCATTCCTAATATATTCACAGACTTATTTAAAAGTCTCAAACCATAATATTCTTTCTACACAAACAGTTTATCACTATTTTGTAGAGCAAGGTCTACTATTAACTTTGACATGTTTTTTGATGTTTTTACTGGGTGATGTGCACTGTCTCTCTTTGGATCTCAACATCTTCCCGCCAGACGCCCCAGACCTAGTGTTTTGGCAATAGTATGGCACGCAATAGTATGACATCACTGTTTCAACCATCAACGAATCCGTGGAACTAAGACAAAGCTGAATATAAAGGAAAATGTTTAGAAGTGTCGGAATTACCCACGATGTCGGAATATACCTAGACCTAGTGTTTTGGCAATAGTATGGCACGCAATAGTATGACATCACTGTTTCAACCATCAACAAATGCGTGGAACTAAGACAAAGCTTAATATAAAGGAAAAAAGTTGAGAAGTGTCGGAATTAGCTACCCACGATGTCGGAATATACCACATGTACCCAAGAACATAATAATGAGTCAACTAAGAACATTTCCTCCATGAAGATTGTGTAGATGCGGTTACGTCAGTCAGACGGTCAGAATGGTCACACTGCATCATCACTTTTACAGTTGCTGCTAAGTGATGACAAATGCTAGTGACTGTTTTCTGTACGGGACATTGTAAATAACATGGGACTTTGTATGCATGGTAGTGATGGGACTGTGTAAGTAACAAGTTTGCGGGTCATAAATGGCTTTTCACGGCCGAGATAGGGAATT